ATCCAGGACGAACTACAACTCGCGAGTCAACCTATGAAAAGCGAGTCCATGTTTATACGAAAATACCCCTATGATTGGCGAAATTTACGATTGCCGGGAACTACGAAAAGCAGGGGACCACTGTACTCTGATAATTACATACTTATGTATACCTGTACCTAAATAAACTTACACACTGTGCTGGCATGCAGGTACACATTAAAATCATTAAGTGTGTCCTTCTAGTCTTAACACAATAGTAACAATAGTTGTAATACGTAAAAATGATTACTATTGGACACATTAACCCTTTCAGGGTCCATGCCATAGTTCTATAGCTTTGAGTTGTGGGTCCAAACTGTAGAACTACGCCAAAATTCTAGCAGCCTCAAGTTTAGCTCAAGAAGGCTGGTAGGCCTACATCTAAGAGAATGGGTCTGGGTGATCATTGTGTGCACTATAGAAAAAATCTGGATGCCCACATGGCATTGTGGGAACGCCGCCAAAGTGGCTTTGTTCACCATGCCTGGTGGCAAGGAAGCTCTCACTCCCCGGGCGAATTCTGACTCTCCTCTTCCCACCTTATAGTTCTAAGACTGGTGAAAATGGATCAGAAGAAAAATTCTATGGTTCTGAACCATATCATACATTGTACCATATGGTACAATGGTACTATATGGTACAATGGTACTATATGGTACAATGGTGCCATATCATACAATGGTATATGGTACATTGTATCATATGGTACAATATGGTACAATGTACAATATGGTATATTGTACCATATGGTACATTGTGCCATATGGTACAGGGTACAGGGACCCTAATGGGAATATTTCTGTCTGACTTTTTTGGTTATCCTAGGTCTCCAAACATATGCTGCTATGTATGATAATCTATGTAACTTTATTTGTGTATACCTAAACTTACTTACGACTCCACATGTGCTTGAGTGGCCTGGTGGCTAAAGTTCCCGCTTCACAAACGGAGGGCCCAGGTTTGATTCCCGGCAGATGGAAACATTCCGACACGTTTCCTTACACATGTCCTGTTCACCTAGTAGCAAATAGGTACCTGATTGTTAGTCGACTGGTGTGGGTCGCATCCTGGAGGACAAGATTGAGGACCCCAATGGAAATAAGTTAGACAGTCCTCAATGACGCACTGACTTTCTTGGGTTATCCTGGGTGGCTAACCCTCCGAGGTTAAAAATTCGAACGAAATCTTATCTTAAGTTTATTCAGGTGTACACAAATGCAGTTACATAGATTATCATACATAGCAGCATATGTATAAAATCCTAGGATAACCCCAAAAAAGTCAGAGTGACTTATTTCCATAGGGATCCCTGTATCTGTACCATATGGTGCCCTGTACCATATGGTACCATGTACCATATGGTACCCTGCACCATATGGTACCCTGCACCACCCTGTACAATATGCTTCCCTGCACCATATGGTATTCTGAACAGTATGGTGCCCTGTACCATATGGTACAATGTACCATATGATACCCTGTACCACATGGCCAGTAGGTGTTTTTTTTTATTTATTTTTATTTATTAATTTGAACATGATACAGAGAAGTACAAGGAATACAATTTTTAAGTGCAGCATGCCAAAGCCCCTTGTATGCAGAGCATTATGGGCAGGCTTAAAATTAACTTAAGATTAACTAAGCAATGATATATTCAGTGGTACAAAAATTATTGTAAAACAGATAACAATTTAGTACAAATGAGTATTACAAAGACAGGTCACATGGTCACTTACTGTTTTGATGTGTAATCAGTAGAATGGAGTATTCTGTTAGGTAATGAGGTTAAATAGTAACAGAGTTTGATTGGGTCACAGGTTGATATTTATGAGATACAATAATGAGATACATATATGAGATTCAATTTATGAGATACAATTATTCAGTATTTATTTAGTTGTGGGTGAGTAAGTGATTTTTGAGAAGAGACTTGAATTTATAAACAGTGTTTCTTTTATTTTCACAGGTAATGAATTCCAGATTTTAGGGCCTTTATGTGCATTGAGTTTTTGCATAGCGTGAGATGGACACGAGGAACATCAAAGAGTGATCTGTGCCTTGTGTTATGGTCATGTGTCCTGTTGAGGTTGGTAAGATGTTTGAGGGGAGGGTTAATATCAGAGTTAAGTGTTCTATGTATGTAGTAGGTGCAGTAATAAGTATGGATGTTTTGTATTGTGAGTAGGTTTGGAATTTTGAATGTTGGTGGAGTGTGCAGTCTGTAGTGGGAATTTGTTATCATTCTGACTGCAGCCTTTTGTTGGGTGATTAGTGGTCTGAGATGGTTTATTGTTGTTGAGCCCCATGCACAAATTCCATATGTGAGATAAGGGTAAATAAGTGAGTGATATAGGGCCAGGAGGGCTGACTGTGGAACATAGTACCATATCTTCGATAGTATGTCTACGGTCTTGGAATTTTTTTTGGAAATTTGTTGTATATGTGTTTGAAATTTGAGTCTGTTATCAAGGTGGATTCCTAGGAATTTTCCCTCTGTGAGTTTTGTGATAGGTGATCCATTTATCATTATGTTAAGAGACACATCTGCAGCTCTGTTACCAAACTGAATGTAGTAGGTTTTGTCAATGTTTAGAGTAAGTTTGTTGGTCCTCATCCAGGTTGATATTTTCTGTAATTCGATATTTACAGTATTGGCTAGCATGACTGGGCTCGGGTGAGAGTAGACGTATGTATTGTCATCTGCAAATAGTGTGGGTTTGAGTAGTTGCGATGCATTTGGTAGGTCATTTATGTATATGAGAAAGAGAAGAGGGCCTAGGACACTTCCCTGTGGGACACCAACTGTAATTGGCTGTGCAGAAGAGCTTGCCCCACTGCTTGCCGCACTGCGTGCGGCCAGCAGTAACAGCCTAGTTGATCAGGCCCTGATCCATCGGGAGGCCTGGTCATGGACCGGGCCGCGGGGGCGTTGATCCCCGGAATAACCTCCAGGTAACCTCCAGGTAACCACCCCACCATCCCCTACCACTCCCCGACACCACCCCACCATCCCCTACCACTCCCCTGCACCACCCCACCATCCCCTACCATTCCCCTGCACCACCCCACCATCCCCTACCACTCCCCGACACCACCCCACCATCCCCTACCACTCCCCGACACCACCCCACCATCCCCTACCATTCCCCTGCACCACCCCACCATCCCCTACCACTCCCCTGCACCACCCCACCATCCCCTACCATTCCCCTGCACCACCCCACCATCCCCTACCACTCCCCGACACCACCCCACCATCCCCTACCACTCCCCTGCACCACCCCACCATCCCCTACCATTCCCCTGCACCACCCCACCATCCCCTACCATTCCCCTGCACCACCCCACCATCCCCTACCACTCCCCGACACCACCCCACCATCCCCTACCATTCCCCTGCACCACCCCACCATCCCCTACCACTCCCCCACACAAACCCACCATCCCCTACCACTCCCCTGCACCACCCCACCATCCCCTACCACTCCCCGACACCACCCCACCATCCCCTACCACTCCCCGACACCACCCCACCATCCCCTACCACTCCCCTGCACCACCCTACCATCCCCTACCATTCCCCTGCACCACCCCACCATCCCCTACCACTCCCCCACACAAACCCACCATCCCCTACCACTCCCCGACACCACCCCACCATCCTCTACCACTCCCCGACACCACCCCACCATCCCAGCTGTGTTTGTCAATGTGTTATTATTTTTAATTACTATATCTTGTATCTGGCAAGCAATCATGGCACCCAGTAGCCATACTAGTGTTGCTGAAAGTGGCACCCAGTAGCCATACTAGTGTTGCTGAAAGTGGCACCCAGTAGCCATACTAGTGTTGCTGAAAGTGGCACCCAATAGCCATACTAGTGTTGCTGAAAGTGGCACCCAGTAGCCATACTAGTGTTGCTGGAAGTGGCACCCAGTAGCCATACTAGTGTTGCTGGAAGTGGTACCCAGTAGCCATACTAGTGTTGCTGAAAGTGGCACCCAGTAGCCATACTAGTGTTGCTGAAAGTGGCACCCAGTAGCCATACTAGTGTTGCTGAAAGTGGCACCCAGTAGCCATACTAGTGTTGCTGGACGTGGCACCCAGTAGCCATACTAGTGTTGCTGAAAGTGGCACCCAGTAGTCATACTAGTGTTGCTAAAAGTGACACCCAGTAGCCATACTAGTGTTGCTAAAAGTGACACCCAGTAGTCATACTAGTGTTGCTGAAAGTGGCACCCAGTAGCCTTACTAGTGTTGCTGAAAGTGGCACCCAGTAGCCATACTAGTGTTGCTGAAAGTGGCACCCAGTAGCCATACTAGTGTTGCTGAAAGTGGCACCCAGTAGCCATACTAGTGTTGCTGAAAGTGGCACTAAGAGGTATATGCACTTAAGTCTTAGAATTAACAAAGATGTTAGACAAGAGATAGCCTGTAGCCGTAACTGAAGTGTTACTTTGTACAAAGAAAAAGAGGTTAAAATGTGTTTATGTGACTGACTGACTTACTGAGTGACTGACTGACTTACTGAGTGACTTGACTGATGTACTGAATGACTTGACTGACTTAATAAACATATTCCTTTGTACAAACGTCTATCATGCCAAAATAAAATATTATTATTATTATTATTATTATTATTATTATTATTATTATTATTATAACAAGACCAGAGTCTTAGAGGTGGAAAGTACAGTGTCTGCATTTGAAGTAGAGGTAGGAATGTTGCAGTTCAGATGGCCATCTAAGCTGTGATGTTATCATGCTTCTGTAGAGACAGCAATTGAATGAATGACAGTCAAAGCATTTCTTTTTTGAGTCACCCCACCTTGATGGAAGACGTCTGGTGTGGTAAAATAAAATACACACTACCTGTACTAAAGGTCACCAGGTACATTAGCATGAACACAACTGATTATTAATATAATATGCTCTGATGTGTCATGCATAATCACACGCTTCTAAAATACAATATTAACCTGTTGAATATATGCTCGTGGTGGTCCTTGATACCACAGTGGTGTAGGTGTTGGGGATGGATCCAATCTTATCCCTCCCTCTGGGGCTGGCAGTGGAACACTATAGTTGAACAGAGACGTCACATATTCTTGTGGGAGGTAACCAGGAAGAGGCAAGTGCCACAAAGGTGTACTGCAAATAAAATGCACAAATGTTAAAGACTGAAAAATACATTATTATTTAAATTACCAGTAAAATGTTTTTGTCCCCCACTTATGAACAAATGCATTCCGAAAAATTTTTTTTTCCATCCCTAAAATCTTTAAAAAAAAAAAATTAACCCTTTCACTGTCCATACCTATCTATTCAATAAAGCTGGTGTTGCTCAGAGATCTAGATTTCAACCACAGCAACTTAAATAAAAAACCTGGAGAAACCTGGAGAGATTTTTTGGGGGTCAACCCCCCCCGGGGCCCGTCTGAGACCAGGCCTCCGGTAAATTTTGGCCAAACTGTGAACCGAGCTGTCAGTAGGCTCACGTGCATATGAGACTTTGAGATTTTTTTTTTCACTTTGCGTTGCATTCTTTGTCCAAAAAACTGCAGTGTTGTGAAAAAACTCTCGATCTGCTTAATATGGCCCCCAAAGCACAAAATAGTGATGCTGACAGTTCTTAAAAAAGCCTAAGAGAAGCTGTGAATTGGCCCATAAGTAAAAAAATGAAATTCCCCCCCACTTATTGTGTGTAATTTACCATTAAACTTATGGTTGTATGTAAAAAAAAAAATTTTTTGTAAGGTTCACTACTATCTGGGGTTTTTTCGACCATTGCAGTAGGCTTGGAACGTATAACCCAAAAAAAATACAAGGGAGTTTCTGTAAAATTTTACGGTTATGCAGGAAACTGCATTTTGAAAATAAACTGATAAGTTGTATACTTTGCCTAGAACTTATAATATTTTGGGGGGCCTGGAAAAGGAGATGCTTAATATTGAATATAATCATGGAAGTCTAATAAGGATTTGTAAAGGGGGTGATGAAAAGATGCATTAAAATTTTTTTTAAATTAATCTTTTACATAATACTACAAGGTATTTAAAATGGACCTTTACTTATAAAGAAATAACACTTAAAGACTTAAATTTATACCGTTTAAAAATGAAATTTTTCTAATTGAATGGTATTTTACTTGAAACTGAAAAGTTACATGATCACCAAACCAGAGATATCCAAGTTAAATAATTGATATCCTTTAAACACGAAAGAAAATTTTTCTTGGGGAGAGTCTTACAAATCACCTACCATCCACCTTAAACCGCTCGCTTACCCCCTCGACTTAAACCGTGTTTTTTATGCCAAATTTTCGGGAAAAAAACAATATTTGTGTTGTAAAAGTTTTTATCCTAAAACCCTTTCAGTATAAAATACAGTCAACAAAATAAAAATAAAGTAAAACATAAAAACCAAAATAAAAAATAAAATAAAGTCTTACAAAATGGTTTGTTGTTTTTTCAGTAGTAAGTTCGCTTACAACCATTTTGACTTCGACCGTTTCTTGGGAAAAGAACTCGGTCGTAAGTCAATGGTAGGTCCTACTTTTAAGAAGAGAGAAAAAATACAATACGCTGAATAACTTCTCAGTCAAAAGTAAAAGAGTAAGTAAGAGGAAATTCTCAGACAGAAGAGGTGTTGTACGTAATCCACACCACTACCCCAACGTACTCAGTCAGGTGATAGTGCAGAGGGGACAACCCCACAAAAATAAATTGGCATTACCCTGGTGAAGATCCATTTCCTCGCCAGAATAAAAATACATATACAGTGGACCCCCGCAACCGATTTTTATCCTGCGAGGGCTCTTGGTATGCGAAAAATCGTATGCGAAAGATTTTCCCCAAAGAAAAAATGGAAAAAAATTAATCCGTAAACACCCAAAAAGTAGAAAAAAAAAAAATTTTACCACGGAAATAAACATTTTTCCCACACACAAAGAAAGGATACAGCACAATGAGAGTGTACAGCACAGTATATATGTGCATGTACTATCTACAAAAAAAGAATAAAAAAACATTACCTTTTTTGAAGATGCCCCAATGACTGATGAGACACTGTGTCCTGGGAGTGCCTTTTCCTCCTGAGTACTGTAGGTCCTGTTTGGTATTTTCTTCCAGAACATGCCTTATCACACTGTGTCACTACGATTCTTAAATCTCTCAAACCAACCTTTGCTGGCTTAAAATTCACCAATATGAGCACTAGTTCCAGGCATTTGCCCCTGTACACCTGGGTGTTAGTCGACTGGTGTGGGTTGCATCCTGGGAGACAAGATTAAGGACCCCAATGGAAATAAGTTAGACAGTCTTCGATGACACTGACTTTTTTGGGTTATCCTGGGTGGCAAATCCTCTGGGGTTAATTGTTTCTTGGTATATTCTCAATAAGCCACACCAACAACAGTGCTACAGCAGCAGCAGACGATGCTACAGCAGCAGCAGATGATGCTACAGCAGCAGCAGCAGCAGCAGACAATGCTACAGCAGCAGCAGACAATGCTACAGCAGCAGCAGCAGCTGACAGTGCTACAGCAGCAGCAGATGATGCTACAGCAGCAGCAGACGATGCTACAGCAGCAGCAGACGATGCTGCAGCAGCAGCTGACAGTGCAGCAGCAGCAGCTGTACCACCAATAGTAGCGATGGTTGATTGGGGTTTATTATACAACCTGGCCAGCTCGGAGACACGCACTCCACTTTCATACTTATCAATGATCTTTTTCTTCATCTCTATAGTAATTCTCACCCTTATTGCTGTAGGGTTGGCACTAGAAGCTTTCTTGGGGCCCATGGTCACTTATTTTCCAGATAAAATCACCAAAAACACTGTAATAATACGAAATGTTACGATTGTATGCTTGGATGCTACCGCGGAGGCTGGCTGGTAAACAATGCCACCGGCGGAACATGTGAGGCTGGCTAAGGCGCACATTGGACGCGTCTCGGACGAACAGCAGTGAGCGGGTTTTTAAGCGGTATGCGAGGCAAAATTTTAGCGATAAAATATATCGGTATGCGGATTAAACGTTATGTGATGCCAACGGTATGCGGGGGTCCACTGTAATGAAAATGAGAAAGATGAAAATGAATATTTAATATTACAAAGCTGATTACTCTCATTTTAGCATTTAATGATGGTAATCGCAATGTAATACAGTGGACCCCCGGTTAACGATTTTAATCTGTGCAAGAGGGGTAATTGTTATGCGAAATAATCGTTATGTGAATGAATTTTCCCCATAAGAAATAATGGAAATAAAATTAATCCGTGCAAGACACCCAAAAGTATGAAAAAAAATTTTTTTTACCACATGAAATGTTAATTTTAATACACACAAACTGAAAAAGGCATGCACACTTACATGACACTTACTTTTATTGAAGATCTGGTGATGATTGATGGGATGGGAGGAGGGGAGAGTGTCGAACTTATTGTTTAGAAGGGGAATCCCCTTCCATTAGGACTTGAGGTAGCAAGTCCTTTTCCGGGGTTACTTCCCTTCTTCTTTTAATGCCACTAGACCAGCTTGAGAGTCACTGGACCTCTGTCGCACAACAAATCTGTCCATAGAGCTCTGTACCTCCCGTTCCTTTACGATTTGTCTAAAATGAGCCACAACATTGTCATTGAAATAGTCACCAGCACGGCTTGCAACAGCTGTGTCAGGGTGATTTTCATCCATAAAGGTTTGCAGTTCAACCCACTGTGCACACATTTCCTTAATTTTTGAAGTAGGCACAATGGATTCCACAACTGGCATAGGCTTCTCAGGGTTAGCCCCAAACCCTTCAAAATCTTTCTTAATTTCCATACTAATTCTCACCCTTTTTACCACAGGGTTGGCACTAGAAGCTTTCTTGGGGCCCATGGTCACTTATTTTCCAGAAACAGCACCGAAAACACTGTAATAATACGAAATATTCCGAGTGTATGCTTGGATGTTACCGCGGAGGCTGGCTGGTAAACAATGGCACGGGCGGCACATGTGAGGCTGGCTGAGGGCGCACATTGGACGCGTCTCGGACGAAAATCGGTGAGCGGGTTTTTAATCGGTATGCGCGGCAAAAATTTTGCGATTAAAGTAAGCGGTATGCGGAATAATCGCTATGTGATGCCATCGTTATGCGGGGGTCCACTGTATTAGAAAGATGAACAAATATGAAAGACATATATATCACAACTGCCTCTCAGCGTAACATAATGTCAGCGTAGTGGTGAACATGTATTAGACAGGCCAGTTGGACACACATTTGACGAGTGACGTGATGAGTATCCTCTGCAATATTACAAAAATTAAATATTTCTGCTAATTTGAGATCAATTTGAAGTTACTTCCAATCCTCAAACCAATCAAAATCATTTCTACTTCTCTAATACATCTTCCATTTTATGAAACCATACCAAGAAACTTAGAATAAACCCATCAAAACCATCCAAAAATACACTGCAAAGTTGCCATTTTCAACTATACACAATCACAGTTTTACTTTTTCATCATGCAGTGTGAGGCAGGATTTTTTTGTTTATATGGTGCACCTTCACCTTGGTTCAGTCCAATGGAAATATACGAGTTTAATCCGTTCCGTGACCTACCTCATAACTTAATTTACTCGTATATCAAATCAATTTTTCTCATTAAAATTAATTGAAAAGCCATTAATCCGTTCCTGCACTCTGGAGACAAGACAAAATACTTGAATATGACACTAATATCAACTGTACGGCTTATTTATCTATCACAATTCATCTAATATGACATAACAGACAATATAAGTAACACAGAAACATGATATATCCTCAAGAATAAAATAGGCCATAATATGGTGGCTGAGGCAGCGGTGGAAGCGTCTGCCATTTCATGTCTAACTTTGACTATAGTATCTTCCCACGCTCTTATTGTAAGAGAAAACGGAGAATTTGTGAGGCTAATTGCAAAAATATCATATATAAAAACATAATAAATCATAATACGTACACTACAGAATGAAAAGAAATGTTAAACTGTTTATATAAAGTGTACACATTATTTACTTGTACATTTGGAGCAGAGATGGTGGGGGATGTTGAGGGTGGGGATGTTGAGGGTGGGGGATGTTGAGGGTGGGGGATGTTGAGGGTGGGGGATGTTGAGGGTGGGG